AGAAATAATGACTGAAAACTTGCTTAACCTGGTGAAGGAAAAAGACACACAAGCCCAGGAAGCACAGAGAGTCCCAAACAAGATGAACCCAAAGAGTCCCACGCCGAGACACATCATAATTAAAATGTAAAAGTTTAAAGACAAAGAGAGAATCTTAAAAGCAGTAGGAGAAAAGCAATTAATTAACCACAAAGGAGCTCCCATAAGACAGTCAACTGATTTCTCAACAGAAACATTTCAGGCCAGAAGGTATGAGCAGGAAATATTCAAAGTGATGAAAAGCAAAGACCTACAACCAGGGTTATGCAGCAAACCTATCATTTAAAATCAAAGAAAAGACAAAGAGCTTCCCAGACAAGAAGAATGTAAAGGAGTTCATTACCTCCAAACCAGTACTACAAGAAATGTTATATGGTGTTCTTTAAAAAGAGAAGGAAAAAAGATAAAACTATGAGTAATAAAATGGCAAAAAATACATACTCATCAATAACTATAAATGCAAGTGTATTAAATACTCCAGTCAAGACCTATGGTGGCTGGATAAAAAAACAAAACAAGACCCTGACATATGCTGTCTATAAGAGACTCACATTAGATTGAAACTCATACCCATAGAAAATAAGGGATGAAAAAAATATTTTGTGGAAATGGAAACAACAAAAAAAAGCTGGGGTAGCAATAGTTCTACCAGACAAAATATACTTTAAAACAAAGGTTATAATAGGAGACAAAGAAGGACCCAGCAATTCCAATTTTGTGTATTTACCTGAAGAAACCCAAAACGCAAAATCAAAAGGACATGTACATCCATATGTTCACTGCAGAATTATTTACAATAGCCAAAACATAGAAGGAACATAAGTGTCCATCAATAGATGACTGGATAAAGAAGTGGTGCATATATACAACAGAATATGACTCATCCACAAAAGAAAAATGAACCTTACCATCTGCAATGACAGAGTATCGTGTGAGTGAAATAAGTTAGACAGAGAAAGACAAATGCCGTATGACTTCACTTATATGTGGAATCTTAAAAAACAAAATAAATGAACAAGCAGAATAGAAACAAACTCAGAGATACAGAGAACGAACAAACTGATGGTTCTCGGATGGGAGGGGTTCAGGGGACGGGGGCAAAGGCGACAGGATGAAGAAGGACACAGTGGTGGCTGCAGAACAGTCATGGGATGTAACGTGCAGCGTCGAGAACACAGTCAATAATAATGTGATAACCACACACGTTGTCGGTGTAGATGTGTCGGGGTGATCACCTCGTAAGAGAGAGATACATATAAAATCATTAGTTTGCATACCTGAAACCAATATAATATTGTACATCAACTGTAATTAAAAAATCAAAAATCTTCTTTAAAAACAGTGTTGTTTAGCATCCAGATCTCGACATATCCCAGGTAGAAATGCACCATGTGTTTACACACGCACACACGCACATGTTTAGCATCCACTAGAGCCGTGCTTTGCTTTTCAGCCAACAGCTACTGGTCTGCTGAAACTGATAATCCCTGACAAAGCAGCCTGATTATTGAGGTTGGCTCAAGGTCAGGCTATCCCTTGAGATATCACCAACACCTTTCATCAAAGAGTGAGGATGTAAAGCAAGCCCACACTTCTTTTACAGAAGGCCGACAGGAGTGGGGAGGGAGACTATGCAACACAATGATGTGTACAGAGCAGATGCCTTTCTTTTATGCTTTAGAAGACAAAAAGGAGATTACCAGTAAGCAAGAATTATCAGCCCACTGCTCTTACAGTTGGCTGTTGTGGAGTAAGTGGTTGATCTATACAGTCATTTCGAGTGCTTCCTGTGGTTAGCCACTGCTCTTCGGAAAGGTGGTAAGAGAGTGTGACTTGACCAAACATCCACGTGCAGGGCTGGGGCCTCTTCAAATGGCCTCTACCAGCCAATAACAAAGGAGACCACAGAGCTGTGGCAGAAAATTCCCTGACCCATCGCCACATTTTCATTCACTCAGCTGCCTAAGTGAGAAACTCAGTGATTGTTAGTTCACACCTGCCTCTCTCTCAGCCCCACATTCATTACTCAGCCCTATTGTCCCACTCTCCAAATACATGCACCTGTCTCCACCTTTACTGCTACCCCACTAGCCAGAGCCACTGCCACCTCCCACTTCGACTAGTACAATAGCTTCTTAACCGATTTCCCGGCTTCACTGGTGGTTCCAGGCTTTTCATACGGGTAAAACTTAAGGACAATAAGTGAGTTATTAACACTTGGTTCAAGCACTGTTTCTACCCTGGGTGTATGTTTAGGGTGTGGGAAGGTGACTACTAGAGCTGTCTACTAGAGATGGCTACTAGAAAGTGTCCAGTAGGTGCTTTCACATGTGTGACTATAGGACTAGTTGAACCCTGACACTCATATGAAGGATCCCTGACATTAGCAACTATAGTATGAATTGGTGCTTTGCAAGACTGTGGAGCTTTTACTTAGATTGCATGTTTATTTAGTAAGCAGGATTGGCTACATAGTTTGCGGAGCCCAGTACAAAATGAAAATGTAGGACACTCTGTTCAAAATTTATTAAAATTTCAAAACATTGACAAGCAGCCCTGCTGGTGTGGCTCAGTGGATTGAGTGCTTGCCTGTGAACCGAAAGGTCACTGGTTTGTTTCCCGGTCATGGCACATGCCTAGGGAGCTGGCCAGGTCCCTGGCTGGGAGTGTGCAAGAGGCAGCCAGTTGGTATTTCTCTCACACACTGATGTTTCTCTCCCTCTTTTTCTCCCTCTCTTCCCCTCTCTCTAAGAATAAATAAATAAATAAATAAATAAATAAAATCTTAAAAACAAACAAACAAACAAAAAAACAGTGACAAGCAGAGCATTATCAAGTGTGAGGCCCTGTGCAACTGAATAGGGAGGGTGCACGTCTGTGGTGCAAACTAGCTCTTTCGGTGAAACTTAGGGTAGTGTGTGTGTCTGTGTGTTTACAGGTAGATTAATACAGATTATGAGGGGACCAAGCCTTCTGCAGTCTCTACAGGGCACCACTACTGCTTCCCTTCTTGTTCCTCCCTAATCCATCCACCACATGTAACCACCTTCAACAACCAAAATGATCTTTTAATAAATGAATATCAGATCAAGTCTCTCTCTTCAGGCTTGTCAAAAGCTTCCCGCTTCATCATAAAGTGCAAAACTTCATTATGTACATCCTAAAAGGCCCTATTTACTCTGATCTTGATGACCTATTTAATTTCATTTCATGTCACTCTTCATCACTTGATACATTCCAACTACAATGGACTCTTTTCATTTTCTCTAATGTACCAAGTTCTTTCTCATCTCTAAGCCTTTGTATATGCCATTTCTTCCATTTGGAATATCAGATCCTCCTAGTCTTGCTTATCTTTCAGAAATCTTTCCACAGTTTATAATCAAATATTTATTCCTATGAAAATGTATTTATGAATGGCTACATCACCATGCTATAAGCTTGTAGAGGGCAAGAATGATATTTACACTGATGATTACTGTGTGCCCCACGCTTAGCACAGAGCTAGGCATGTAATACATGCTCAGTAAATATTTGTTGAAGGAATGAATAAACTTTCAAGTTATACAGGCCCATATTTGAGAACTGCTTCATTTTAATGGTTATAATCTGATAGTACAGGATCCCCATCTGGAGGTAGGTAGCCATTCTCATGGGTTAGGGTTGACCCCAAATGATCTAATCATCTCTTTTATAACCCATTTATGAATGAATGCCATTCATTGTTCCATCAATAGTCAATTTACCTCAGTCATTTCATGTTGTTCTGTTATAGCTATTAGTATAACAAGTTTCTATATGTTAACCAATTCTTTGTGTTTAACATATAGCGACTTACATTCTTTAGCCTTTAGATAGGTTTGTCTTCTGGCTTTGTCACATGTCTGTTTATCTGTTTTGCGCAGGAGCACAAAAATGAAGCAGCAAAAGCATTACCTTTTCTTAGGCTGATGCCCTGGAAAATAGTATGCCCTAGAGAGATAACTGCCCTCTCCCTCCACCACTCCAAGTAATGCTGTAGAAACAGTGTTTTTTATTGTGTCAGCATTCTTAACTTGGTCAAACCCCTGAAACTGTATGCCTATTTTATACTTAAATTGCTGTATGTATATGTATGTGTATTTTTCTGGAAAAGACCTATGTTTTATTACCTCCTTGGAGAAGTCAAAGATGTCCCCTCCCCCCCCCAAAAGTGCTCTGAGACTTGTATCCTTTACTTTCCCTATGACTGAGCAAACCCACAAAGCTGATTGTGTCCTTTCTCTTTGTGTTATGACACCAGGATGCTTCTTGAACCTTTCAAATAAACTTTGTAAAATGCTCTCAGGTTAGCAGAAGCATTTTGAACTGTATGAATAATAAATGCATTATAAAATTTTCTCTTTGAAAAAAGAAGCATCTGAAATAATTACCCAATGCACTTAGCTACTCACTTGCAGTTATTCTTTTTCATTCTTTTTAAATTGGTGTGTTTTGTTTTGTTTAGATTTTTTATTTATTGATCTTTGGGGGGGAAGGGAAGGAGAGAGGGAGAGAAACATCAATGCATGGTTGCCTCTTGTATGTCCCCTGCTGGGAACTAACTGGCCTGCAACCCAGGCATGTGCCCTGACTGGGAATCGAACTGCACTTCTTTGGTTCACAGGACCGTGCTCAATCCACTGGGCTACACCAGCCAGGGCTAGTTATTCTTATTAATGCCATTAACATTGTTTATTATTTCTCATTAGTTTTCTGCATTACCTGAGTGTGGTCACACTGGCTTTAGGGACTGTGTCCAGTATTAGCTGAGAAGCTACGGCCACACATTTTTTTAAAAACTCCAAATTTTACTAAGAATACAGATTGGCTTTGGGGCCTAAAACTAGTTCAGTTGGGATGTGAAACAAAAATTAAGACACCATTATACAGCAAGCCTTCAGCATATTCGTATGTCTGCACATATAATATCGGGATACACACATTTATTAAAGTGCTTTGGGGTTTATTTACAGTCTGACCCTTTAAAAATTCTTGGGCACAAAACATGTGAGTCTTTATTAGCCAGAATTTCTTTTCTCTTTCTCTCCTCTTGCCAGTAAGATTTTAAAGATGTTTCTTCCTTCACTTCCTTCCTTCATTGTACTCAGCGTGAACCTATAATCGCTGTAACTTGGATGGAAGAAACTCCACGTCAACAAATCACCAGAAGCAGAACTCCCACTGCGGTATTTCCTTCTAGATCTGATCATTTAATTGAGAAAGCATTCTAGTGATCTTTTTTCTTCAAAGACGATTAAGTAAGCGAAACCGAGTTAACACCACCGCCCCGCCCCCCCGCAATCCAGAACTATAAAGAAAGATTTGGCAGGGTTCTCAAGCGTCAGCTCTCTAGATGCCAGGGGTACACCGTGCACCTGGGCTGATAAGGAGCGTGCCAAGGCTCTCAGGTGGGATTTTCTGGCACCGCGAACACGCTGCTGGCGTAGGCACTGGAGTCAGGCGGAGCAGAGCCGAGTCTCCGCTCTAGGGGTTGCTTTGCTCGTTGAAGCCGCCCAAACTTCTGAGCGAAGTTTGCACCCAGAACTTTGCGATCCTGCAGCTGAAGCTAGAGCTATTTTCCCCTTCAAGGGATCAGGGGCTTTCCTAAAGGACACAGGAGAAGAGGCGACGAGGCACTGCAGCCGAGTCCTCTGCAGACCGAGTTCCCCAGGGCTGGTGGGAAGTGGGAGTGAGTGCAGACCCCCGGACCGTCCCAGGCTAGGGGCGGGCGCCCAGCTGCCCTTGACCTCCCCAGCAGTCCGAGGCACGCGGGGAAATGAAAGTAAAACCTGTTTTGGCGCGGACCCAGCTGGAAGCTGGAAATAGGTTGCAGGCAAATTCTGTCGCCCGTCCTGGACAGGTTCCGTGTGAAGAGCTCGATTCGCAGGGGACGAACTGAAAGGAAGAGATGGGAAATGGGAGCAAGCGAGAAAACCAAAGCAGGGTGGGGAGGGTCCTCGAAACATGGCAGACGCGCAGTAATACGTGCTGTCTGCGGCGTGGACAGACTAGCAGCGGGACCGCCTGACCCAGTTTGCTGCCGCGACTACCCTGGGGCCAACCCCGAGACCCGAACCCATCCAGCATGCGGCGCTGCACGTCTCTGAGCCTCGGGCTCTTACCCGAGTCAGAACCAGGAACCTGTCCCCTGCACTCAGCTGGAACTCAGGTCCGCTCAGGTGACTCGGGGAAGATTCCTCACAATACATTACTTGGACACGCCCTTGCCTTCCCCAGGTGCAATGTCCACGGTTCGGTCCTGAGAGTGAAAAGGCGGCTGAGCCAGCAGTGTGCGGCCCAGGCAAGGCAAGGTCCGCGCGCCCCAGCGCCCAGGCGCCTTTTCACTGTATGGCAGAACCAGTATGGCAAACCAGGTGGGAAGCTAAGAGATCTGCTGGGGGCATGCTATACATTGGGAAACTAGAGGAGGGACGTGACTCGCCCACATTCATACAGCGAATTGCAATCCAGTGAGTCCTAGTGGTCTCGCGCCCTCGGCCTCCCAGTCTAGTCTCTGGGCTGCAGAACGCGGGTCTGGGGTAGTAGGAATCAGGTCATCAGAGGCCTGGCTGAGTTCCCTCCCCAGTTTGGTCCCCAAAAGGCAAGTAAGAAAGTGGAGTAAAGAGGCAGTGATGGAAGAGTACAAAGGGGTGACAAACGTGTTTGGGGGTGATTCATCATGAACACGCATTAATACTTGGGCGGGGGCTAGCACTCTTCTCTACCCTTTGACGAGGTGATGACCCTAGCTTAGAAAAATCCACGCCGCGCCCCAGTCTGCCGTGCTTACTTGCGGGGGGCCGAGTTAGGACTCTCCTGCTCACTACCTTTGGTGTGACTTTGGGTAAAAATACATTCTCTCTCTGAACGTCAATTTTCCACTTAGTGAAATGAGAAAAGTAATGTTACCTTCCTTCTTAACTCAAGGGCAGATGTGAGGATCAAAGGAGATCAGGATGTGGCTGTGCTTTGTAAATGGTAGAGCCATTAACATAGGTGAAGCATTAGTGTGCTCCCTGGCAGTGAGTCCTCACGTTTAGAATGGCTGAATGAAGGCTCCGAGGTGCAAACTCAGGTTGTAACCTTATAAGGCATGATTGGACTACTAGGGGAAAAAAAACCAAAACGGTTATCTTTCTTCCTAATTTTGGTTATTCCTGTATTTCCAAATGAGCGTGCAGATTCTGAAGTTTAGAATACCCCCTCCTCCAAATCCCAATTCTCAGATTAGCCTTTCCGAGCCTTGCCCTTATTGCGAAATCCTACTAGCCCATTCCAAAACCCCGGAGTCTCCGCCGCTCTCGAGGGTGGGAGTAGAGGGGTGAGGAGGGGGTGTTGGCGAACCCAGCTCCTCCAGGCTGCGTTTTGTGCCCTGTCCGGACGGAGCTAGGGGTCGCAGCCAGCTCAGGCTCGGAGCCGGCAGAGGGCGCGGTCCACTCGAGGCTGTAGCTCCCGAGGGCCGGAGCTTGGCCCATCCGCATGGTACCCCCTCTGGCTCTTGACTTTCCTGCCAGGAGGCCTCGCACTCTAGGCTGCATAGATACTGGACAAGGACCCCAAGAGGTTGTACCGGCCCTACTTTGGCCAGACTTACAGTGTGAACTCTGTGCCCAGAGTCAAGACTGTGTAAATTCCTGCACCAGTCTCCCAGGGCTCATCCCTAAGCCCTCTGGGCATAAGGGACACCCCTACCCCTAAACTCCAAACCCAACACCGACAGACAAGCAAAGAGCACGCCCGCGTGCAAGAGAGCGCATGCCGGAGGGAAGAGAGGGAGGGGAGGAGGGCAGCCGAGGCCCCGCCCCCTGCAGCTCTAGTTCCCCTATAAAGCAGGGGAACCAGAGCCAGCCACTCAGTGGTTTCTGAGTGACACTAGGCGAACAGCTGGAGCCTTACCACCTCTGGTTTCTCACCGCAGCTTGGACGGTAGGGTTTTGCCTCTGCCAGAGTGCCGTCTCGGAACTTTCTCCTTCCAGATCTTGACAGATCACCCCCCTCAACAGGTAGGTGCTATAGGTGGGGCTGCTGTAGGTGGGGCGTGTAAAGAGGGGGACCTTGCCCAAGCAGGAGACTGGGAGCGCTGGGTGAGGGGTCCTTTAAGGGGTGCGTCCCATAGCCTGGGCCCAGCTCTTATACACAACTGGAATTCCAGTGCCCTCTGCTCTGTCAACCAAATTCTGAAAAATTGAGCAGGGGATCTGGCAATAAGCAGCGTCCTTCCTTGCGGGTCCGGGTGCAAATGCCGCAGGCGCCTCTCTGCGCCCCGGGGAGATAAGCGTCTGGGCCGGGCAGAGCAGTGCTGAGCCTGCCCGCGCCGGGGGGCCCCCTCCAGCTCTCCGTGCCCCGCCAGGGCGGTGCGGCAGGTCCCAGAGCTCACGCTCCTTTCTCTCTTTCCCAAGGGTTTGCGCATCGCCGCCAGGATGAAGCTGGCTCCCGTCGCCCTCCTGTACTTAGGCTCGCTCGCCTTCCTAGGCGCAGACACTGCACGGCTCGACGTGGCGTCAGAGTTCCGAAAGAAGTGAGTCGCGGGCAGAGCTTTCCCGTCCTTGTACCTGGAAGACAGGGAAAGTGGAGCGTGGTCCTGAGGGGTTAGAAGTGAATGCGAGCAGCGACGGACCGGACTCTCCCCTGGATCCATGCGAACCGAATATATTTGTGTTTTCCAGATGGAATAAATGGGCGCTGAGTCGTGGGAAGAGGGAACTTAAGGTGTCCAGCAGCTACCCCACCGGGCTCGCCAACCTGCAGGCCAGGCCTGCCCAGACAATCATTCAGCCCCAGGACGTGAAGGGGGCCTCACGCAGCACCCAGGCCAGGTAACTATGTTTTGCACCTCCATCGTGGGTTGGGGAGCAAGCTGTCCCCCACTGCCATGACCCAGGGGGTCGTCGGGGCTGTGTGGCAGATCAGAAAGCAGTAGCAGTTTCCAGCCCCCTTTAGTCCTAGAATGCTCGCGTTCCTGGCGGCTCGGGCCCAATCCCTGCTTGATGAGGCTCTCACGATGCCTTCCTTTCCCTCTCCAGCAGTCCGGACGCCGCCCGAATCCGAGTAAAGCGCTACCGCCAGAGTATGAACAAATTCCAGGGTTTGCGGAGCTCCGGCTGTCGCTTCGGGACGTGCACAGTGCAGAAGCTGGCGCATCAGATCTACCAGTTCACAGACAAGGACAAGGATGGCGTCGCCCCCCAGAACAAGATCAGCCCCCAGGGCTACGGCCGCCGGCGCCGGCGCTCCCTGCTGGAGGCCGGCCGGGGCCAGACTTTGTCGTCCCAGGAGCTACAGGCACGCCTGGCTCCAGCCTCCCGCTCGAATCAAGTGCTCGCCTCCCTCTTTAGGATTTAGGCCCCTGTGGCAGCAGCTATCAGTCGAATTTGCATCTGGTTGGCGCCTCCCGGGGCGGAGGGCTTCCAGCAGCCGAGTCTCTCAAGCTTTGAGGACTGGACTGAATCCGCCGCGCAGGAGTTCGGGAGGCACCGTTCGGCGAGCCGTGGCCTTGCGCGGGTCCCTCCTCCTCAGAGGCAGCGCTCCTTTCGCCCTAACCGGGCCCGAGTGTACTGGGGGAGGAGGGGAGGTGCGCAGAGGAATCCCGGGGAATGTCTGCAGGACTCACGGAGAGGAGAAGCTGAGAATTAAATGCTGAGGTTCCCCTGGGGCAAGGGTCTGAGCCACTGCCATGCCCTCCCCCCAAACTGATTGATTTCTCACGGGGTACCACCCCCACCGGGGTGCAACCCCCTATTATTACTTGAACCTTCCAAAACCAAGAGAGGAAAAGTGCAATGCGTGTAGTCTATACAGAGGTAACTATCAATATTTAAGTTTCTTGCTGTCAAGATTTTTTTTGTAACTTCAAATATAGAGATATTTTTGTACGTTATATATTGTATTAAGGGCATTTAAAAGCAATGGTATTGTTCCCCTGAATATTTTAATTCGTGAATGTCTCAGCGAGGTGTAATGTAACATTGCTGCGTGGAATGTGTGAAAGTCTGTGTGTATGAAAGAGACTTATTACCTCTTGTGGAAGAAGGAAACGCCGTGTCTCTGTATAATCTATTTACCTAAAATGAGTGATATGCGGAATAGCAAACCAATAAACTGCCTCGATGCTGATTCATTCTCGGGTCACGAGTCTTGGGAGGGAGGGCGCCCCCGGTCCCGGACGGCCTGGGAGCCTTCGGGTCACGCTGCCTGGACTGGGGAGGTGGGACAGCTGTGCGGGTGGGGTGCTGGCTGGCCTTTCTCCGCGCCCGCCGAGTTGTCCGGAGTAACGCTCTCCCTGCGGGGAGCGCGGAGCTTCGCACAAACTGGTCAAGGCTTCTCGGACACGCCAGAGGTATAGCTTCTGGTGGTGGCTGGGCCGGGTGGAATAGGGTGAACTCCAGTCGGGGGCGAACCTGGACTCTCCTGTTGGCGCAAAAGTCCCAGATTTCATGCAGTTGCGCAGGAAACCCTACACTAAAGTGCGCTCCGGAGTGCTATTTTGGGGTGGTCTCTGGAGCCTTTTAAGTGAGGACTTACCCCGGGCTCCCTTGGTGTTAAAGTTAGAAGCTACCACAGCAAAAATACTCGAATTCCTCCCGGAAACCCGCAAAGGGGCAGGAAACCTTCGTTCAGACCCTGCGGGAGCTCCAGCTAGCGCGCGGGCTCATAAGCGAGGCTGCGGCGCCCCCAGCCGGCCGCCTTGGATGAGAGCGAGAGCCTTTCGGCAGTACGTGCGGATAGTAAGCTCTCTCCTACGTGGGAGTCAGCACACAACCTTAATGAGAGAGGAAAGGAAAAAAACAAAAAACAGTGTGCAGATGCCAACCAGGGACGGCCCCCCAGCCCTGCACCGGAGCTCAGGGTTCTGCGACCGTGACTCAGCGCCCACAACGCTGCGCAGTGTGCAGCTGCTGGCCAGAGGCACGCGGGACGGACGTGCCGCCGGAACCGTGCGCTGCTGACAGCCTCAGACCTTCATTGTTCCGCCTCCCCTTGCTGCTCCCCTCTTCCTTCCTCCTTCTCAAGCCTTTTTCGTTGTTTTTTTTTCCCCCCTCCACTTCTCTCCATCCTTCCTTCCTCCTCCTTGATTTCTTTGTGTTTTATCATCTTAGAAGGTTGACCCCAGTTCTGGTGGTAGAAGCTGGACGCTAAACCTCAATGAGTGACTAGAAGGGCAGGGAACATGAGAACTGGACAGAAGGGGAAGAAAAGAGCAGGCGCCCCTGATTTTGATTTTCCTGCTCCATTTGTCTCAACCAATATACCGA